AAAAAAAAAAAAAAAAAAAAAAGGAAAGGTAAACTTCCTATTAACCAGTGGGAGGGCCCATATTAGCATCCACTACTGGAGCTGGTGAGGTGAAGGCTGACCCACAAAACTCTTCATGAGCAGGGAGGAATTACTTTACAAAAGTAATAGATAGCTGGGCATGGTGGCCTTTAATCCCAGCACTAGGGAGGCAGAGGCAGTGAGTTCAAGACCAGCCTGGTCTACACAGTGAGTTCCAGAACAACTGTGGCTACAGGGAGACCCTCTCTCAAAAAGACCCAAAAAAACCACTACCACCACCAACAACAAAAGAAATAGATAAAAACTGTAAAAAGTTATTTATCTGAAAAGCAAATCTGAGCATGTCACCCTGCTTCCTTAAGTAATCCTCATTAGAGAACCTCTAAAATCGTTGAAAACTGAAGTTGACCAATTCACAGTCTTGCCCACTCTGTGTCACGTCTCCCTTCTGTAGGCTCTCTCCCTAGATTTTGCTGCTTTCTGATTATGCCACAGCAGCCTCATATCTCAGCGGCTTTGCATTTGAAAATCTGTCCTTTTCCAGACCTCTTGGTACATTCTTTCTATCTGCCCAGTCTTGGCTTGAACAAAACTTGATCAGTCTTCCAGCAGAAGAGGCTTCTCTTTGCTGTGGGGTGCGCCCTTCCATTTTAACACATACTTCACTTCATGGAAACAGTCTCTAACAAATTGTCCTTATCAAACTATAAACCCTTTAGAGAGAGACACATTTCACTTTCGTATTCTCTTTGCCAGCACAGTTTCTGTCTCAATAAGTAATCAATGAATTAAGGTTTAATGAAAAATTATACTTTTTATGTTCTAACATTTAGTGGGTAGGATAGATAACAGTAAATGAATGGGATCTTTTAGTTAGAAACTTAGGAGCTGATGAGACAGATCAGCAGGTAAAAGTACTTTACCACACCTGACTGCCTGAATTTTGATTCCCAGAATCCACATGGTAAAAGCAAAGAACCAAGTTCTGCAAGTTGTCATCTGACCTCCACAGGCATGCCAGAGTACATGCCCCACCCCATAAATAAATGCAGCAATTTACCTTAGCCCTACATTCCTTAAATAGACTTAAAGTTTCCATTGCCTAAAGGGTCCCATCTAATGATTACATCAGTTATCCTGGGAAAAGGGCTGGCGATTTGCTCACCGTTCGTGCATCCCACACGGACAGAGTCTTGTCTGCAGAAGCAGTGAGAAGAGTGTTGGAGAAAGGAAAAAATTCAATGCTGTTTACAGACTCTGTGTGTCCATACAAAGTGTATCTGCATCGCTCACTGTGGAGACGGATGAAGAGTAAAGAATTTAGGAGTTAGTATCTAAACACTTTTGTTCTCTATATAATGCTGATAAAAAAAAACAAGTTCAGAATTAGAAACAAAATTATTTTATAAGTAGCACTTTTCTTTTACACACATCTTAGCCAGGTAATGTGGAAAGTACCTATAATCCCAGACTCTGGAAGGAGAAGAAAGAAGTTGTCTTGAGCTCCACTCAGCATGGGCTACAGAGTAAGGCTGTCTCACACAAAGAATAGTTTCAAAGAAATGTAATTTTGTCAGTACTTTAAATAATTAGCAAGATCAAATATATTTAAGTTACCCTTCAATTTACAGATCAATTTGATCAAGTTATCTTTACACTATTTTGAATATTTACTTGTCTATGTGTGTGTGTAGGTGAGCATTGAGTGTGTAGGTATGGTGGTGGGAGGGGGGAGTGCAATACACCTGTGGAGGACAGAGGTCAACATTCAGGCATCATTTCTTATTTTCTACTGTGAGGAACCTGGAGCTCAAACTGAGGTCCTCATGCTTGGTAGCAAGCACAGGGGCCATCTCATTGGCCCTATAATATTTATCTGTGTCATGTAATAACTACATAAGAATTGTCTCCAACTAATAAAACAGTATGTGAAGAAGAGAAAATCTTGTACCAATCTCTAAGATCAAATAAAATATCTTAGGTTGTTATTTCTCTGTTTCCTCACCTTGTCTCTGTATTAAAATTGCTGAAAAGAGTTTTTGGAAAATACTTATCTTCAGTTTCAAGCCCCAGATACTTCCTTCCAATTGATTCATGATAGACCCAGGCACCGGAGTATTAATGCTTCCTCTCGTAATTGTAATTTGCCTTTGGGGATGAAAATCTAAACAAGTGTTTTTCAAACTGTTTTATACCGACTACCAGTTATCAACATTACTTGGGAACATATCCAAAATGCAAATTCTCATCCACATCTCAAATCTATTGAATCAGAAACTCTGGAGTGGGGCCCAACAATCTGTTTCAGCAAGCACTCCAGGGAATCTGGCTGCATGTTCAAGTTTGAGAGCCCGCTAATCTAAAGTACAAGAAATGAGAGGAGGAGAGAGCACTTCATCTTCATCCTTGCCATTTAATTGATGAACATGTCTGCTGGTGCTTTCTTGCTGCATAAGGAGGATCCACAGTTACAACAGAGAACACATGGTCCAAAAGCCTAAAACATTTAATATGACTACTTTGCTCAATAAGGCTACAATGCCTGTGAGATAGTCCTATATATATTGAAATATTTAAAGGTGTGTTTAAGTCTTATGGTATTTAATGTCTTTTGGAGGAGTCTAAAATTTATAGAAATATGTTTATCTTTTTAAAAAAAAATTGTTTTTTTTCACTGCTATTTTCTAGTGATACTAAGTACAACTTTTTTCTTTCAAAGTTCATATTCTGGGGCTGGAGAAATAGCTCAGTGGTTAAGAGCACTGGCTACTCTGGCAGAGTACCCAGTGTCAGCTCCCATAATCCACATGCTGGCTAACAACCATCCGCAATTCCATTCCAGGGAATCCGACACCCTCTTCTGACCTCTGCAGGCATTGCATGACATGAGTACACTTACATATATGCAGGAAATGCATTCATACACACAAAAAATAATTAAAAAGTTCATATTCTAAGCCCATTATCTTGAAATAAACAACTTTAAATATTAGTGTAGTCTAGCTGTAGCTCTAAGGAGAGACAGAAAGGTAGGCAAAGGAAGTGAGAGAGAGAGAAACAGAAACAGACTATAACATTACAGTGATATGTCTGATATCATAAGAGCAAATATAAAATTTAAATTATAATTTATTCTTAAGGCAAAACAATTATATGATTTAAAAGCATTGCTGAAGTCAAGATAATATGTTCTTACTACAAAGGAGATAACTATTTGCATTTACTTTGATGTTAAATGTTTATTATTATTGTGTGTATATGTGCATAATGTCTGTGCAGTAGGGATGTGTGTACTAAAATGCATGTGTGGAGCTGAGAGAATGACTTTGTGGGGTCATTTCTTTCCTCCTACCCTTATGGGACTTCTGGGGATAGAACTCAAGCATACAAATGCAGAAAGTGTCTTTAACTGCTGACTCATATTGCTAGCCTCAGATGTCACTCTTAAAATATGAATTAAAAGTTATTTTAGAAACGTTAATTTCTAGAAAGTATAGTGAACAAAAAACAAATACATGCTCATTTCCTCCCACCTTTCTTCTACTTATCTCCTAATTAAAAAAAAAAAACTGTGTTATTCATTTTGGAGTGTTTTGATCTGTAATCACCCCCACTTCCCAGTGTTCAGTCACCACTTTTCTATAAGGTCCAGAGAATGATTTACTAGAGTTGTGCTTTTAACTTTAAGTAAGTGAATTTATTAAGCATGTAGCAAGCAAAAATCAAAGAACAAATAGCAAATAGCAGATATACAAAAGTACCAGATAGACAGCAAAGCATCATCAAATCAGGGTTTACAATATCAAGCAGAAATTGACTAAGGATCCACACTGAGGCACCTAGCTGCAGTTCCTGAATGAGGGCATTTTGCATAGATGAGTGTCCAGCTTCTCTTTCCACACCAGGCATTTTAAAATCATGGGATAAACAACAGTGACATCCACTGTAAACAGTTCACCTTCCAGTTGTCCTCCTATCTGTCACTAAGCCAGGGGTCCAGTCTGCTGGACAAAGGGCTTTGAGTACAACTGCTTGAGTCTGAAATGAAGGGGATGGTCTACCCCACTTCTAGAGTCATCTCAGTAAGTTTAAACAGCATGTGTCAGTTTGCCAATATTTATAGCTCTGTACTACATTCATCTTCTACATCTATGCTTTCATACAACTTTATGATCACTAGATGCTTTTGCAATTTTGACTGACTGCAATATCTTGAGTCATTGGTTACCCTTAAAATTTGGGAAGAAGTATTTCATTCTCTCCTCTCATTGGCAAAGCCTGAGGTATGTCTCTCAAGTCCTCTCCCTCAGCCAACTTCTTTGGCTGATTTTCTTATCATGCTCAACATCTAACTACCTTGAATACTGGAGATCAAATTTTTTTTATTTATTTATTTTTTGATTAAAAGAAGCTTTTCATTACAACAGCATTAACCTATTCAATAACATTTTTCTGAACTAGGGTACAACTCTTTCAAAATTGGCTGTACATTTCTAGGTTTACAGATGAATTATTATGCTTATATAATCTTTTACTCATTATAAACTCTATAAGACATAAAATTAAATGAGG